AACGTAGTGCTAGTACTATTAGTTGTAGTACTAGTAATAGTGGCACCAGATGGCAGTGGCAGTGACAATAGCAGCAGCAGCAGCAGCAGCAGCAGCAGCAGCAGCAGTAGCAGTAGCAGTAACAGTAGCAGTAACAGTAGCAGCAACAGCAGCAGCAGCAGCAGCAGCAGCAGCAGCAGCAGCAGCAGCAGCAGTTGCGGTTGCGGTTGCAGTAGCAGTAGCAGTAGCAGTTGCAGGTGCAGGTGCAGTTGCAGTAGCAGTAGTAGAAGTAGTAGAAGTAGTAGTAGTAGTAGTAGTAGTAGCAGCAGCAGCAGTAGTAGTAGTAGTAGTAGTAGCTGCTACTACTACGACGACCACTACCACTCCCACTCCCACCACTACTACTACTACTACTACTACTACTACTACTACTGCTACTACTACTACTACTACTACTACGACTACTACTACGACTACTACTGCTAGTACCTACTGCTGCTACTACTACTACTACTACCACCACTGCTGCCACTACTACCGCCACCACTACCACTACCAATAACTACAACTACTACTGCTACTACTACTCGTGCTACTGATACACTGGCTGCTGCCACTGCCTCTGCGAACGCTGCTACTGCTCTGCCCCGCTGCAGTACCGTGTTAAGGGCTGGTGAGCCTCAAAGCTTCCAAGTCTGTGTGCCATCTTGAAGGCTCTGAAGATCACCGTGAGGTTTGAATTCCAGTTGCGGGCTTGAGAGTGTGGGAGTGAAGTTGCGAGGCATGAGGTTCCCGGAAGACGCCCAACGCGGAATCCTTCACCAATCTTTAGACTTACTAGGCGGTGACAACCCTCGAGCACTTCCAAATTCTGAGGTCCCATGCCCTTTCCTAGTTTTCAGAAAATGAAATGCGGCAGAATTGTTTTCAAGACACTAGATGGGTGTGACTGAATCTCATCGTTGTGTAAATGCGCCGCCTTAAGGTTTCATGTTTCCGTCAACAAGGTCGTTTCGGGATGAAGGATTTTGGATCGGATACACTTCCATTCAGACTTCACTGGATGCAGAATTTTCCTAGGAAGATTCATGCCTGGGAAAATGCTTCCCGCAAGGAGGGCCTTGGTGGCCATGGAAGAATCCATTCAGAATGCATGGAAGTTGAAGAGTCGACAGCTACAACAAGCCAAGGCCTGTGAGAACAATGCATTCAGTTAGCGTCACTGCTCATGACAATTGCACCGACAGCAAGTTTGGGTAGGTCCTCTGTTCGTTGTGAGCCACTGCAGAAATGCCACAGCCACATCGTGTCAAACCTGGCTCTCTGCTGCAGCAGGAAAAACCGGAAGAGGCGGGGACACAGATACTCCTTGGCACTATGTTCGAACAAGTGAGGTGCTGGTTATGGCGCAACTGCAGCTGTTCAGCCCGTGCAGTGTCGTATGCTTTCTGTCCGGTTTATGCTTTCGGCCGGGCTGTACATGCAGGAGAGCCCATGTCGTATTGCCTTCAGGGGCAGAGCACACCTTTGCTGACGCTTTTCGGGGGAACGCGAAGCAAACTTTGAAAAGATTGCAAGGACAACCTCCGCATTCTGGGACAGGTAGAAAGCAGAGACTGATCTTGGGGCTCGCGTGAAGAACTGGAGCCCAGTCTGTCGCCACGCTCTCACAAGTGTTGCCCGTAACACGTCCTGGTCTCATCGACTGGCAGATATTCATTAGGGAAGCCATCCTTGCAGGACGTTGATCTTTTGAAAAGCAGCACTTGTTTGTCATCGCAAATCGCGAAGTCATTGGCGACTGTCGATTCGTCCAAAGTCTGTGACACTTGCACTATTTACTTTTCACTACTCCGAACTAGTGAGCGACTGAGTGTCAAGCTTCTTGCATGAAGGCCGCAGTGCCGCCACCGCCACCGCCAGCACTAGCAGCACCCCCAGAGAGGGTGTGCAGAGAAGACATGCGCTGTCTAGTAACAGTGTAGTCCTTCTGCATTTCAAAGGATGACGAGGCATCAGACTCGAGTGCTCGAAGGGAGTTGGAAGCATGAGCTTTTCCGGCGGCGCGACTAGACATCACTAGACACTAGCAATATGACCGGACACCGACTTCGACGAATTACGTCCTGAAGTAATGGCAGCGCGTGGTATGCTAAGACCCTGGACCGAGAGTGGTAGGTTCGCAGGTAAAGAAGTATTCTCCAACCGCATATATCTTCCCGGACAGCGACAACGACGGAAGCATTACCCTTCAGTTTCGATCTGCAGCAGTGCCTCCGGCGTTCTAGAGAGTGAGTTCCGCCGCGGGTGACTGCGAGGTAGAGCCTCCACTAACAGAAATGGCTCCAGAAGAGGAGGAAGAGGAGCCGCACAATAGCTTCACAAGCACTTCAGCCACGTGCGCCACTACCCCGCAGTGTCGGACAAGCTGTAGAGTGCCTTCCTTCGCATCGTTGTAACCGGCTCGAGCTTGTCAGCAGCGTGTCGGCAACTCGCATACTTCGCCTACCGGGAGCTGCGCTTGAGAGTTCGGTTCAGAACTGGAGGGTCTCGTATAGGTCCTGGCCATCGGACGGAGCGGCCTCGGAACATTTGCTCCTCCAGCATCAAGTACGCTTGCAGCTTGCATGTCCTAGTAGCACAAAGATCACCGTGCAAAGCAGTCGGTGCATGGGTTTTGGCGATGGAGACTCCCTCGCCGACGTTTGCTTAATCGTTGTCTGCTAGCGGTCTGCTAGCGGTTTTTCGTATGTTGCCATCCAGGAGGATGTTGGCGAGCACGGTGACTTGCCTGCACCCGGGAATGCTTGCTGCACGAATTTTCCGCTCAGAATGCAAGGTGGCGAGGCACATTCCATATTCCAGGCAGGTGTTGCCGCACGTGGCAATTCTCAGAATTTTCTCCATTTGGCCGCAGGGCAGCGTGTCTTTGGAGGATCAACGACGAATAGAGGAGACATGGGCTTTGACAGTTGCTGCGAACAAGCCGAGATTTCTTTTCCAATTTGGCCGACACTCTTCGTATCCAGACTTTTCAGGAGTTCAGCCTATATGATCCAAGAGATGGCAAGCTGCGTTCGCAGCTCAAATTCTGCTCTGATGTGTTAACGGCTGGTGCATGTGCCTTCTGCCCATCAGCAGGTGACCTGACCTTTGACGATCAGGCATGGGCATGTTGAGAGAGCCTGAGCATGCGTGCCTGCTCAGACTGAATCCTATACTGCCTGCACTGGCCTGTGCCACGCGGTAGTCACGGCGACCATCTGGCAGTACCGTTCTGTTCACGCAAGCCAGGTGGAACGGAGAAAGAAGCTCACAGAGGAGTGGGCTAAGATCGTGTGGCTCGGCTCTGCCTCTCGCTTCTGTCGCCAACTGACCCTCTGTGAAAGTGCAACCTGCGCAGCATTGCAGGCAAGAAGAGAAGGCAGGTGTACTTCCCAAGTGCTGGGCGATGACATGAAGATGCCGGTAGCTCCGTAGCACACAAAGACACATAGGGTTATCACACAGCTTGTTGGTTCAATAAGGATCAATCCTGCTTCTGGGCTGCATTGCAGGCGGAGATGAAGAAGAATCCTCGCAAGGCTTTTGCCGTCCAAGCACCAAACCTCGAGGCGCCTCAGTGTTCGATTGTGTTGCGGATTGCATGTTTTGTGTTTGTGTGTGTGCAGATGTTGGCATGTATTGAAGTTGAATTGTCACGACACGTCCGGTGTCGCATTGGGAAGATGACGATGGATAATGTGCCGTGTGAATGACCGTAGACAGCCACTAGCTTTTTGACCTTTGTCCAGGACGCATTCTACCTTATCGCAGCCGCTTACGACCTCAACGGCAATGGCTTGTTGCATGGACTGTTGGTTCATGTGCCTTTCAGGCTTTTGTGTGACATGCACACGACTTTCGATTATCCAAGTCATATTGGCAGTGCAGTAGTAGCAGAAGTACTGGTAGTGGCAAGTGGTGGTGATGGTGGTGGTGGTAGCAGCTGCAGCAGCAGAAGTCGTGATGGTGGTGGTGGTGGTGGTGGTCTTCATGCTATAGTAGTAGAAGTAGTAGTCGTCAACGTAACAGAAGTAGTAGTAGTAGTAGTAGTAGTAGTAGTAGTAGTAGTAGTAGTAGGTAGTGTANNAGAAGTAGAAGTAGAAGAAGAAGAAGTAGGAGTAGTAGTAGTAGTAGTAGTAGTAGTAGGAGTAGGAGTGGGAGTGGGAGTAGCAGTAGCAGTAGCAGTAGCGGTAGCGGTAGCGGTCGCGGTAGCGGTAGCAGTAGCAGTAGCAGTAGCAACAACATCAACATCAACAGTGATTGGAGGAATAGTTCGTGGTATCAAGAAGACGTTTCCCTAATCCTGCAGCTGGTGACAATCTGCCAGGTGCTCGAGTCCAAACGAGCTGTCCAAAAAAGGAAACAGCCAAACATCTTGGGCACTGAAAAGCGCGACTGGTGCCTTGACAGGCAATCTAGGCCTCGAGCTTGGTGGCCAGCCTTTCAATTCCATGTGCTGGATCCGTTTCTACTCAGGAACTCCTCAACCATTGCCGATCAAAAGATTCAGAAGGATGTTCACAAGGTTTCTTGTCTGTTGGACAGTATGATGTCAAGAGCTAGTGAGGATCAAGACAGCCTGTTGACCCCGCCAGACGACTTGAGCCGCCGCAAGATGGCCCAAATCTTGCGACAGTTCCACGAGCATGGTCTGCTGTCTCTCGAGTTTACAAATCTGGTTGATCACACATTCCGGTTTGTGTAAGCCTGTTATGGTTCATATCACCAGACAAGAAGGAGAATGCATGTCTTGCCTTGATGGGCTCTTCGGCAGGGAAGCCGGATGGCCAGACAGCTGAGCCAGCTCCCAAGCTGCAAGTGACTTTGGAGGACTTGGAGCTACCGCCCAGACGGGATCGGCCCACAGCTGCACCACTTCCGGGCCAAGTCGGCCCACCAGTTGGGCATGTTCTGCCTGGCTTGGCTGGCGCTGCCCCTGCCGTCCCACAAGGCCCACGGCTCACCGAGGAGCTGCTCTCTGGTGCCGAGGCCAAAGGACAGCGTGCCTTTGGGGCCGATGGGCTCGTCGGAACGGAAGCCCAGCAGTTGCAGCTGCTCGCCCACTACGCTGAGCTTTGTGACGACTTCCGCTTTTATCAGAGGATCACTCGAGAAGAGGACACCGCATCGAATTGTGATGGAGCTCAGATGGTCCTTCTAAGCGGCCCTCCGGGTACGGGCAAGAGCAAGCATGCAGTCAGCTTTGCACGTGCCCTTGGCCTTCCTCTCCTGACCGTGAACCCGACGCAAGTCTCTGGTTCTAATGGACAGGCATACTTCACGGGCGGTTGGGCTTCGCAGGTTCGACAGGAGATCCGTGGTCGGGACTGTATCTTGTTTCTGGACGAGATTGACCAGTATGCCTCTCACGAAGCCTTCTTATCGGGATTGCGGCAATTTCTGGACGGGGTATGCCAACCATCTGCAAGCAAAGTTCTCGTGTTGGGCACCACCAACTGCATAGACAAGTTGCCGTGGGATGTCCGGCATCGAGCAGAAGTTGTAAGCTTTGTTCATCCGGAGAAGGAGCACTTGAGCACGATGTGGAGGAAATACGCGAAGCACTTGAAGGAGGATGACTTGGCAAAGCTTGCAGAGGTGAGCTCTTTGGCGAAGGTCGGCCGCAGAGTTTTGCAGTAGTGTCACGAACGCCTTCTGTCCTTGAACATTGCCTTAAATACATGCATTATATCGCATCATTCGTAGCTCATTGTGATGCCGAAGGCAACGGGGCGCGACGTGAAGCACTGCGCTGCATTGTGTGAAAGACAGATGGCCATCGCTTATCTGAATGCTCAGCAGCAGCAGGGATATTGCCATGGCGCTGCCTTGGGAAACTGTCCTGGCCCAAACGTCGAGCGATACCTTCGTTGTGTGCAGAATCGATTCCCGGAGTAAAGCTGTGGTGATACGGTCAGGCAAGGGGTGTTGAGCAGATTCAAGACGGCATCCATCGCGGCACGGCGGTCGAGCATTTCAATGCTAAGTTTGCACGAATCGGCTGCAAGCCTCAAACTGCGGAGCCTCAAAGTCTTAGCTTCGCGGAGTCACGGAGCGTTGAGCAAAAAGTTGGCCCTTGCCTTGGCTTCCGTTTGGCTTGTGCGGTCTTATGATGCACCCAGGACTTGAAACGCCATTTACTTCAAGTCCGAGCTGGACTCCATGACGAGAAGATTCTCAAGCCATGCAAAGCTCACACCGATGAGGCGATCGTCGAACGTCATAAGCCACTCGTGTCCACTTAAGACTCGGGGTAGGCACTTCGGAGATCACGCCAGGCCCCTTCTAAGGACATCCCTATCCACACCAGACCCCCGGCTCCACAACACCCGTCAACCCGCACACCGCGCTTCACGTGTGCGAAAGGCCCCCTGGCATCCATTTTCATAGTCACTCCGTGCACAATCTTCGCCTGTGGTCGCATATGACCGCGAGCCGTGTTTCAATCGGAGCTCGCACAGCACCATTGTGCGCATATCTGCTCGCTCGAGATGTGCCGGTAGACCTTCCGCTGACACTGAAGCCTACCCCCGTGTAGGGATACCCCATGGAAAAGTTTATGTTTATGTGAAGCAGTTCCTCCCACACACGAGTGCACACGAACACGGCCCACCTCACCAATCCACCCACCCAGCCCCGCCACCGCAAGCTGTCCGCTATCCCCACAAAGTTTGTCTAGTACTTCACATTTTGCGGGCTCCTGCAGAATGCTCGGAACATTGGTTTCTGTGTGGCTTCGATTAAGGTTCATTGTGGCACTCACTGGCCAGGGGCCAGTTGGCAAGCTGTCAGGCCAAGCGGCTTCACACGTCCTTTTCTTGGTCCCTTGCTGCTGGGCATGTTTGGCGCGAGCAGGCAGGTGGTTCAATGCAATCGACGAGCGCGGCCTGCCAGCCCACTGCATCGCCGATCATTGGAGTGACTGGAATTCTTCTTACAGCACTCACACCAAGGTCGGGGTGGAGTGAACATATCCGGGCATGGGGGAAACAATTGCATGAGGTTTTGAAGGAGTCCAGAGTTTGCGTCGAGTCTGTGGCAATACGTCGCAGGAGGACGTCGTCCAGGCCCATGCGGTGGTGCAGCAGAAGGCGTCCTGGATACAACACGCACTCACTCACGCTCGCTCACTCACTCACACTCACTGACTCACACTCACTCACGCGCAATCACTCACACTCACTCACACTCACTCACTCTCACTCACTCAATCACTCGCTCACTGACCCACTCACTCACCCACTTACCCACCCACCCACTCACCCACCTACCCACCCACCCCACCCACTCGCTCACTCACTGCCTCTCTCTCTCTCTCTCTCTCGAGTAAAAATTGGAAGATGGAATAATCCTGTCTTAGGAGAAGATAGTGTGCCCGCATAGCTATGGTAATGAAAAGGGCAACCCGCAATCTAGATTTACTCAGCATCTCCTGTGTCCTTGCATAGCAGCAGCACTTCTGTGTTCATTTGTCGGTAGCGGCAGCCGAGCGCATCATTAGCGAGCCGATCACTTGAGGAAACAATCATGATTTGCCCGCTTGGCCGAGGATGACCGTCGCAGGCGCATGATGGGCAAGGTTCCATGGCGAGCAAAGACCAAAAGCCTACACTGCCCTAGACCGTCAATTTCGTTCCAGCCCTGACTGCGATGCCAGCTCGGAATCTGCCGAAGCATGTCAATGTCGAGACTGAGGAGAGCAAGCTGAACAAGGATGCTTACGTCAATCCTACGAAGGCCTTACAGCCGCATTCTGCCTTGGTGATGCAGCAAGCTGTAACAATTTGGTTGTACATGTGTCTGGCAGCATGTGCCAGCTCGGGTAGCGATCGCCTCTACTGTTGAGCAGTTTTTTATTCCGCTGTAGCGACGTCACATGACGGAGGTGTAGAAGACGTGTCAAACGTCACCTTGCGGAGGAGTAGAAGTTCCACACACGTGTACATGCCCACAACCCGCTCTGTGTGATCATGTTGCAACGCTATACGCTCAGTGGAGCAACCTTCACTGCACAGCATGTCGTTGCTCACCGTGACTATGGCGTCTTTTCTTCTTGTCTTGTACTGCCGCTGACATGAGTTCCCTGTTGTACCAGTACCGAAATCGTGCTTGACCTGTCTTGATAACTTGTCCCTGTTACCAAGCGGTGTGCAATGGGGAAAGCATTCTCCGGCCCTTGCTGGCGGTAAGCTTTGATAGGAGATGTCGTTGCAGATAGCAGATCAGATTATTCCTTTGCTTTATCAGTCACTCTTGTGGAAAGCAGTAACATGAACAGCACTATCCGATCCCCTGTTCCCGGTTGGGATCGCTAAATTTTGCCCGAAGCGATCAGAAGGCAGCAGCAGGGACGACAGGAGCGACAATCACTGCCACCAGCACAGCCACCACCAGCATGCAGCAACAGCCCTTAGTGTCGCTCAGACTCTGTCTAGGCCATCACCAACATGAACGACAGACTTCGTGAGCGGAAGGTGGACTTCCAGGATCTGAAGGACTCTTGCTTTGGAGCCGAAGCACGGGGAAGGAAGGTCGCACCTCGAACACGGCTTCGGAGGACCAGTTCAAGCGAGAACTCAAAGTGGAGTTCCCTCAAGCTTCTGAAGAGCGGCTTCAAGCCATGGCGCAGAGGTACATTTTTTGTAGGATTTGCGACAAATTTGCCAAATCACGCGCCATGTCTACTAGGTGGCTGAGTATCTGTGTTGTGTAATGCAGAGGAAGCTGCCGCAGAACTTTTCCCAAGGGTCTCACAGAGGAGGTGATTCTTCAGCGACTGGGTAGTTTGAGCTTGGTTTGGATCGACCTATCGTACTCGAGCAGCCCACTACGTGTCGTTGTTGCAGGCTGCTCAATGAAAAGCTCCTGGCTGACGAGAAGATGTCTCGGTTCCCTGTGCAGCATGAAAGCTTCCGGCCAAACCTTTCTTTGACGACCCAGGACCAAGTGATTGTCGCCTCGAAGGGCCCCCCAGAAGCTTCCGCGAGTGCTCGCAGGACCGCAGGTACAAGGAGCACTTCCACCCTGGGACGTTCGTGTGGAACGAGGCAGAGAAGCGGGAGGCACCGTCCTGCTGAAGCCATTGCACACGCACGCACAAGCCTTGCGGCCTCGAGCCCTTGCAGAGCTGTGTCGCGACAGGCGTGGACTTGCTGCTTGAACTTCGACGCCGACTCTCGCGGCTGCGAGTCGCGCGTGGTGAACCCGGACGCCTGGAGCTACCAGGGCTTCGAGCGCGCGTCGGCATGAGACGACGTTCGGATGGGCGTTTCATCCCTGATGCGGAGTGCATTTGGGCCAAGCACTCTTGGCATGTGTGCATCTAGCCTTGCACCGCCAAGCCGTTCCCGGCGATCTCACCAAAGCATGTAAGTAGCAAAGCCTGGGAGGCACGACAGCAAGGATGTTCCAAACGGCTTATAGCCCTGTACACAAAGCGAATTTCGCGACCTTTCTGCTTCGGGCCTCACTGAGCTTCTGAATCAAGAGAGCGTCTCTGAAAACTCAAGGCCGGAAAACGACAGTTTTGCTGACTTGATTGTTGATTGTTGCATCCCAAGTCAGTAGTTTTGCAATAAACTCCGTTTCTCGAGACCGATCATCCCGCAGATTCGCTCCTGGACTGAGGCTTGAGATTCTCGTCCGAGAATCCCTACCTTGCTCCGTTGACCTGGCTCGTTTTGAGAGTGTAGCAGTGTTGCATCTTGGCCAATCGGAGACGCTGTCTCGTTCAAACTGCGTGGGTTGCCGTGTGGCTCTCAGGGTGCGGCTTTAGTTTTGAGATCAGTTCGACTCATACATGTCGCACAGCCGCCAAGCAGTGCTTGCCTTAGCTCTCAAAAACAACGATGGGGCTGAGACTCCGAGTCAGCAAACGGCCACCCTTTGCAGCCCTTTGCGAGGTGTTGTCATGAGCGCCACGGGCACCGTGAAGTCTTTCAATGGTGCGAAGGGCTTCGGTTTCATCGATTGTGGCTTTGGACAATATGTTTCGGTGGGTTACATTGTTTACCTATGTGATTAGTCTCTGAATCCAAGGTGGCACAGGAACAGACGTCTTCATCCACATCAAGGACATGTTGTGAACCATGCAGGGTCTGAGCTTCGGCATGTACTCTTGCGTTGCAGGGTCCCTCTGTCCACATTCAGAGATCCCGAAACTAGCCGGGGAGGATACTTCTCATATATCTGTTTGGGGATCTAAAGTCCATATCTTGGAAACATTCTTTGCAACGCTCCCTCGAGGACTGCATTGATGGGAACCAGCCAGCCGCAGGCGATGTGCTGACGCTCCTTGGAGTTTGCTGTACTTCCATACAGCCTGGGGTTTCAATTCTTTAAGTTATGGTATTTCGTACGCTGGGCCAACATTGAACATGCTATATTACAGCCCGAAGCCTGAGCTACAACAGCCCCCATGGTGTACATGTGAGACTCACGTCGAGCACGCCCAAGATCCGGCCCATTGTTCGTGCTGGCTGTGCCCCAAGGTTTGACCTGGAGCCCAGCAAATCCAAGCCAGGCCAGATGCAGGCCCGGAGAGGATGATCAGGCATTTCTTCTAAATGGGGGTTTCAGAAAATAGGGTACCCTAACTATCGGAAACGCCCAAATCACTTTCCAGTGTCCTGCGCGCAGTTGCTGGAATAGCGCGGCTGAATTGAAGCACAGTGGCAGACATGAACTCCGGCCATGCTCGGAGGCCAAAAACGTTAAGGGTGGGACCGCTGTGAAAGAGCAGCCTGGCGCCACGGACCCGAAGCTTAGCTGCAGATTTTGCAGGGGGTTACGGAACCAATTCTTGCAGGCTCCGGTTCTTTGCAGGATGTGCTTCAACGGAACTACCTAAACAGCTTAATACTGCATTCTGGATTGCCCAATAGCGAGCACTGGCCGACGTGTCGGGAGCGCTGGCAAGCTGGCATCCTTCAACCTGCAAGGGCTTGATGCTTACCGATCGCATGGGCCCGTCGAATCTGAATTACAGCATCCTAAGCTTGGGGCTCTGTCGACAACTTCGCAGTTTTCACAGACACGCGGCACGGGCATCACCAGCAATCGCAATGGTTGTGGCCGTCGGTCAGGCAACAAACGGAACGTGGCGAGACGCCTGGTGACCTTGATCGATCTCACACCCTTGTCAATAGAGCCTTTCGCTCTTCATTTCCAATCGCCCTTTCCATGACGAGCAGATTCCACATTCGTTGGAGAATCGGCTTGGCTCTTCTGGATGGTCCAAAGGCCAAGGCCATGCCGTGGAGTGACAGTCCGAAGATCAACACCGCCTACGTCGTAACACGCTGCAACTGCTGCTTCAGCCTCGGACACTGGGATCCCGTCCAGCAGAGCTGACTTAAGCCAATGGATGGGCTTGCCGAAAGCTGTTTGAAGGCCGCCTGTGCGGTAGCGTTCAACTCAAGCACTGAACATGTGTCGCAGACTTCTTGTGTCTTCTCTTGTTGGCAGACTTATGTGTGAACCTCTGCATGTCGAGTTGCTCTTGCCACGCTCAGCTCGACTCTCCGATGGTGATCGTTGGTCTAGGTCTTGGCATGCTGCTGGCACCGCCGCACACCAAAACAGCCAGTGTGCAGGCACCGCTTGAGCTGACGCGCAGGAGGCCGCACTCGAAGGATCAACGTGACCCAGGGCCCAGCTCCTGTAAGGTGGGCAGATGACCTGCATTTCTCGCGAAACTTTCTGGCACCGATCTCTGACCAACTGAGTGAGTGCTAGAGTGCTGCTAGAGCATGCTATGCTATGCAGTCTGTGTGGTCTGCCTTCAATCAGCAAGAGACCCCAAACGCAAAACACATGCCTGCACATGGGCCCATGGACGGAGTGGAGCTTGTCTAGCAGAAGCCTTCTTCTCCCAATGACTTGTTGTGCAGCACTCAATCTGAGGTTTGGCTCTTTCGGAGCTGCGAAAAGCATCCGCTCCGCAAGCAAGATGTCGAGCTTTGTCGGAGACTACCCCAGAATCCCGTTTTCTTGCAGTCCTGTCTCCGAACTGCACATCGAGCTCAGGCATGGGCACTAGACAAGGAACCGTCAAAACCTTCAATGCCGAGAAAGGACCAGCCTCCTTGAGCTTTGTCATCGCGGGTAAGGGCCTAGAGCCTAGGGGGTCAGGGCCTTGGGCGAGGGTCCCCTTTTCCTGTCTCGAGGGGCATGGTGACCCGAACAGGATTCGGCTTCATTGCGGTGGAGGACGGCGGGCCGGACGTATTTTTGCATGTCAAGCAGTGCATCGGCTCCATGCCCAAGCCTGGCGACGTGGTGACCTACGACGTTGAGCCTAGCATCAACAGACCAGGTCAGATGGTCGCGAAGAACGTAACAGGTGGATCTATGCCACTGACTACGGGTCAGCCACAGGCTGGAGCTGGATATGGACCAGTCCGGACTGACGTGACCCAGCTTACGAACCCGTATGCGCAAAATGGCATGATGGGAGGCATGAACATGGGCTGTGCTGGCTTGGGGATGGCAGCAATGCCTGGCTTGGGCCTCGGTGACATGAGTGCGATGGGCGGGATGGCGCCCCAACTGGGCTGCGCTGGCTTCAGTGGCTGCGCCGGATGCCCCGGCTGCGGTTGCGGCGCCTGTGGCTGCGGCGCTTGCGGCTGCGGTGCTTGCAGTGCCTGTGGTGGGTGCGGTGCCTGCAGCGGCTGCGGTTTAGGCGATTGCTCTGGTTGTGGAGCATGTGGTTGTGGTGGCCTCGGCGACTGCTCCGGATGCGGAGCATGTGGTTGCACCGGGTGTGGACTAGACGGCTGCGGAGCATGTGGCTGCGCAGGCTGCGGAGCCTGTAGCAGCTGTGGCTGTCCACAAGGATGTGGTTGTGGCCTGAACGGTTGTGGTGGCTGTATGCCTGACATGAATGCCTTGGGTGGCTTTGCTGGCTATGGTTGCGATGGAGGCATGTCGCAACAGCTAGGAGAGCAGGCAATGGCGCCAATGGCGGCAACCATGCCCCCCGGGGCCGAGATGGTGTCAGAGGAAGTTGGCCAAGCGACGTAGGTACGAAAATTTAGGTCCCATGCGTCTCATTCAACTACCTGCTGCCCTTTAAAACAAAGGCCTCAACCTGCAAATGCATGGGCGCTCGACTCCTAAAAAGCTTGTGGCTTGAGGATGCTCGTGCGGACACTGATGTGAATGCGCACGTCCTGTGAAGTGTGGTTGGAACCTCGTGCCAGGCACTATCCACACGAGCAGGTGGAGGCTTGGTCTTCGCCAAAGTTCGGGGATTTGATCAAGAGCCGCGCAGGTTCCAGACTGAAAGTACGAATGAGCTCGCTTGCGATAATTTGAGGATGCATAGCGGAAGCTTTTATCCATTAGCTGCAGCAGGCTAAACAAGTTTAGCTCTCGGCAAGGGGGGCTCTCTTCCTGCTCTACCCGACCTTGCCACCAGCCGATCTGCCACGTCTTGTGTCTTCTGGTTAGGTGTCTACAGGTGCTTCCTCCCATGGCGAAGATCTAAAGTGTCGGCTGGCCAGGGGTTTCGTCTGCGCTGGATCTCGCGAAAGCAGAGCCACCGGGGCAGCCAGCAAAGGCCATGCCAAGAGCCACAGCTGCGACGAGACCTTGCACACCATGAAGGATTCCAGTGAGCTTCCGGCCCACGCAAGAGACAAAGAGGCCGAAACGTTGAACATGTCGCACTCTGCTGGCATCGACATGGGGAGGTCACTCGGCGACTGCAGCTTCCCACTGAGCCTTTTGTGGACAGCTACCTGGAGCCAAGGGCTACTCCAAAAGCTGAATGTCGCAAATCGTTCCCGGCATGTGCCTGCCACCACATAAAGAACTTGCCGCCAGGAGCAAATCTATCCCAGCAACTATGTTTCCAGCCTGCTGCTAAGTTGCGATGTTGCATTGTCGTTTTGTGGTGAGCCGATGTGCTGATGTATCGATGAGGCCCTCACTCGGCAGTCACGACGAAGCTACTCTCATCAGAGGCAAGGGTCTGGGCAATCTGAGTACGCCTCGGCACATGCTGCACGCCCAGTCACAGCTAATTTCGCCTTTGCTTTCGTCCAGACGACTTTATCGGGGGCTGGAACAGGCGGGCTCACGTGTCTCATCACCGCAGCGAGGCCCGTCCGTCCGAGCAGGCGCCGTGTGACATACCTGAGTGTGACAGTCCTCTGTGTCAAGGATCCGAGTATGCCCAAATCAAAGAGTCTGTTGAGGCTCTGCTCAGAGCCGTGGCAGCTGTGTATCAATTTCCAGCACAGGCCTGGTAAGAAGTCACCCGACTGACTGACTGCATGCATGGAACCGTTTTACAGTCAGAGACATCTCTGTCAGAAGTCTAAGCATGATGCAAGCAGCGGCAAAGATGCCCTACACGGCACCATTCTCCGCTCGCGTTCCTGCGTTGTAACTGCAGCCTTGACCGCTGCTACACGTGGTGTCATACGTTTGTCGAAAACACCACAAGAACTGTGGACATGGCCGTCAAGGCTTCAGTAAGCTGTCACTGAACAGTCTCCAGGCTCTGCATCATGGAAGCAGCAGATCAAAGGCGCCCGAGCTCTTGAGAAACTCTTGAAAAATCTCGGGAGTTCTTCTCGCGATCTGGATGGCAGACTGCTGGGTACAACACGCTCGTTTAGTCGAATAGGGTCTGGTCGGAACGCTGTGTTTCTGTCGCGGAACTAACAGGTGCGCGGCAGAAGCTGTTGGAGAGGCGCCCGAAATCGGAAGCCCGAATGACGAAGGTATGAACATGCCTTCGGACATGCGTAGGTTCTGCACCACAAAGCGTGCGTTCGATGTCCGGATCTTGGACGAGTTCCGAGCCGTAGAAGACCCGCAGACGCAGCGGCGGACTGGACCAAGGCTTTTCTCGGGACCATCCGCGAGCTCAAGAGGCTTCGGTATTGAGAGGGCCTCAGTGGCCTCAGTTGCAACATGCTGCGGTTGAAGGGAGGGAGCCACATCGCGTGCAATGCTTTATGATCATCCAGGGACTGGGGACATGATGGACGTTGAGCTGCCGCAAGAGCAGCAGAGAGCCAAGATGTGTGAGCTGCATCCTGTTGCCTTGTTCGAACTTCGCCACAGAGACGTTACATGGTGACGAGGCCGTTGCTGTTTGACGAATGGCCTGTCAGTAGAGAGTTGGAGTTGACTTTTAAGCCTCTTGTACAAAGGGTTTCTTAACCCTTCCGCTTCTCTCTGCGGTGGTGCGACCAGGGCTGAAAAGCTCACGGGAAGCTTGAGTACCGGGATGCACCAGGTTCTGTGCCTTCCTGACCAAGCACTTCAAGAACATTCCGAAAGAGGCGAAGACTTGCTCGTTTTCAAGCTTTACACACATCTACTGCACAGATTCAGATGTTATGTAATGTAGCTTTGATTCGAGGATCACATGAACATCTTCCGTTTCTTCGATACGGACGGGCAGGTCACTGAGTTTGTGGCATGAAATAGTATCCTGGGGGTTGTCCCCAACACAATTACTTCATGCAGGTCGTTTGGTTCCCTGTCAGCAGCGCTTTCAGACTGGCCAAGGAGTGGTGAGATCTCACTCGGTGAGTTCTATGCAGTGGTCGAGGTGGCACGCAAGCAAGAGAGCTAGCCGACTACATTGACTGTAAAGTAAAAGGAGGATCTGATATGTGCTTGTATCAACCGAGCCGCCTGTGGCTAAGCTGCAATCGAACACCACCGTCACAGACACCGTGGCGCGCCGTTCGCATATGGCCCTATGGGGTAGAAGGAGACCTCTTTACCTCAAGGCTTGCAGCAAGAAAATGAGTCAGCAACCACGAGCACTGGGCTGGCATTTGTTTGTTTAGTGTTGTCCGGCACACGATAAGCCGGAGGGATGTTTGTTGTCGTGACCTGTTGGCTTCCCTTTGCAATTCGCCCCATGGCAGGCAATGTCCCCCGTGCGCAGCCTGGCCGACCTTCGGTGCAGGTGCTGTCAAACATGTCTTGAAATTTGCCTAGTTGAGGTTTAGGGTCATCTCAGCATGACTTTGCAATGCCAGGTGGATTGCGCTCGGATACGGTTCAGCGTGCAGGGCAATGGAGGTGATGGTGCCGCACCCAAACTTTCATATGCGAGGCCATTGCTGCCGGCACAGAGATCCAGGAGGTAGCAGTGCTGCCTGTCATAGGAGCAGCTCCGCAACAACTTTCGACAGCAACAAGCCGGATGTCTCGTCGCACGGTTCTTCCCGCTCGTCGTGAGTCTGTGTCGTCTATCCATTCTGCTATTCCTTTCGTAAGTTCTCGTCCAGTGTCTTGCATGTATCACGGTGCAAGCGCCCAAGCTACCTCGCGAGCTGTCCTGTATGTCGCCAAGGCAGCACGACACACCTGGGGTGTGCGACGATACAGCTGTCAGCATTTCGGGCATCTCCTGCCGCATGCTTATCATGGCAATGTTAGCCCCTTTTCCGTTACCCGTTAAACAGAGACAGTTGACAGAAGGAGCAAAGTGGGAGTGCTGGAATGGGAGGAGCACCTTTATATCTTTTCAGCTGGTGGCCAAGTTGTGTGAAACCGTTCCACTGCAGTATTTGTGGCTGTAGAAAGTGGCAGATGCACAACTCAGGCTGTCGCTGCTCCGAACATGTCGGGCACTGACAGAACCTCAGCATCTTCATGAACAGCGGGAGGGCCGATGCATCGGTTCTTGAGTGGAGCGTTTTCGAGCTGACATGCTTGCATCGTTCACCTTGTACCACGACCTTGAGACGACAGACTCGTGCCCCTTCAGCTCTTTGCGGTTGAGTGCGCATCCTGATCTAAAATCTAATGCCAAACATCAGACAAGTTGCTTTCAGACATTTTGCGACCCAATAGTGGGACGATGTTATAGTATGTCACTTCCCGAAATCGTGTTCCTGTCAGCCTCGGCTCTTGCCCCTGCTCCAGTGCATTTGGGCACATGTTGGGAGCCTCAAAGCTGGCCTTGCTTGGACTTCAGAGCCTTCTTTGCGCTCTCAGGTTTCCCTTGCTGAGCTTCACGCGGCCCTGGGTTCTGCGCGAGACCCAGAGTAAGCTCTGTGGCCGGACAGATGCAGATGAACTTGGCCGATTCCGAGGTGTCCCCGGTTCTGCTGCTTGAGGAGTGGCGGCAGCGCCTGGAGACGCCTTAATCTCAGCGAAAAGAGAGACTCAAACTGCTGTACCGATGTTTCATTTCCACACCGTCAGACTGCAGGATGTATCTTGACGTGGAAAAAGCTTATGACCCCCTGGAAGACATCACCACCCAGGCCAGGAATATAAGGCTCACGTGATCCGTACCAGTTTTCGCTCTGCCCACAGTGGCATTGCCAGGCACCTCTTGACCTCAGCAAGTTTGTCGTTCAGGCTCTCCAAACAGTCAGCACGGAGCTACAGATGCAGTGCCAAACTGGTAACCAAGCATGATGAGCGGGTTGCCTTGCCACGGCGGAGACTTGCGGAGACGGGCTCCCGGAACGGCGCAGAGGAAAAGGGCGGTCTTTCAAACGCAGGCTGGAGAGCACTGGAACATGTCGGTGCTTGAGGCCAAGAGGCACGGTGCCGTCGTTGACGCAAGCAGCCTTCATCCCTGTCTGTATGTATGCATGTACGTATGTATATATATATATATATACACATATTAATGTCATATTGTAAGAATAAGTATAAGTATAGAAATAACTATACAAGTATAAGTGTAAGTAAAACCATAAGTGCAAGTAACAATGTAGTAAAAGTATATGTGTAAGTACAAGGCAGGCAACGACGGTATCACCGGAAAATTATACAAATGGTTGGATGACGAGAACAGAAACTTTTTACTTCACACAGCAAATGTATGTCTCAGACAAGGTAACATGGACCAACGTCATCTGAATGCGCTGGTTGTCTCAATCTACAAGAAAGGCGATGCATCAAAGCTTGAAAACTATCGACCAATCTGATCATTGACGGCATGCTTAAAAAACTGTTGCAGCTCATGGCAACTCAATATGGAATCAGAAAGGCAAGAGCACAAGTCAAGCAATTTCTGCAGCAAGAAGATTGCAAGACATTTCAGAAAGTCTAGAAGCCACAGTACCCTGATATCTGATAAAGTTGCACATGACAAAATGCCAGATACGTCGATCCGGTTCAAAGTCCCCGCCCAGAATCTATAATTTGATAAGAGCTTTTGTGCAAACCCTCTGTTCAAAGTGAAATTCGGGGAAGTGGAATCGGATTGGCATACATGCATAAATCGGTTGCTGCACGTTATAGAAAGGCATTCTCAATATTTCGGACTCAAACTTAACTACGGCAAATGTGTCAACCTCACTGCTAATCAACGTGTTACGTCACTTCGTGTTGCTATGGGAGGTTCTGCCGCAGGGAGACCGGTTCCGGGAGAAAACTCAGCTGCATGTCTAGTGACTCGTCTCTCAGACACGTTCGATAACAAAGCCGGAGTTTCAAAAAGACTTGGTGATCGCATCGGAACATGCAAACGTATGGGGCTGTTTTGGAACAAAGCAAAAACTTCCATAATATGGAAAATGCAAGTATTCAGTTCAATAGCCCCCAGCAACCTTTTACACAGTTCGGAATGCATACAGTTGTCATCATCAGAAATATCCAAACTAATGGCTTGCACAAAAGTGCTTCGCAAGATTCTTGGCAAGCCATCACTACTTCCAATATGTATGAAGAAATCCAACGTGATCACCGTTGCAAGTTCGAGCACTTCGGAGACTAGTGCGGGCCTGTAATCAAAAGAAGAGTTAGTTGGCAGACCCCGAAGCGATTGGCGTACTGAAACCTACGGTGACGCGTGTCAGTTCTTGTATGGGTCCCATGCAGTCTCCGACATAGAAAACAACAACCATATACAGGACGTAATGAATACAGCAATACAGAGGCTACCTCCGTTTGCATAAAAGTTGGCAATTTGTGCCTTCTCATGGTACTGCTCTTGGTAATATCACTTCAGACTGATGTTGGTGCGGTTGCGCTGTTTTCAAGATTCGATCTCGTGACTACTGTATAGTCCTCATGTTTGGTGCTAAGCACATTATGTGCTTTGGTCGGGAGCCCCGTCACACTCAGCAGAAATAGGTATAAGTATGAGTACAAGTTTATGTATATGTACATACATATGTAAAAGTAGAAGTATGTGTACATGTACATGTATATGCATATGTTTCTGTATATGTATATGTGTGCGTATACATATTTGTATATTTGCATGTATGTATATATGTATGTATGCATGTATGGATGTATGCATGTATGTATGTATATGAAGATATAATATATGTATGTGTGCATGTATGTATGTATGTATGTACGTACGTACGTATGTATGTATGTATGTATGTATGTATAGCATAATATACACATATGTATAGATGTATGTATACATGTAAAGGTTTATATATACATATATATATATATATATGTACACACACATGCTTATATCTATATATGCATGTATGTATGGTTGTGTATGTATGCATGCATGCACTGATGTTCAAAATCTCTAGCTTCAGCTTTGTGTTCTCCAGAGCAAGTTCTTCTTTGAGCATTCCTGCATGACCGTTCTCACCATCAGTGCTGTTGTTTTGTGCCGCCCTATTACGAATGCCCAGGCTATGGGAATCAAATCTCTCGTCGTATTCGAGGATCATGCCCCAAAATTGCTCACAAAAGTTGTGCGTCCTTGCTCTCGAGGTCCGTGCGCATGTCCGAATGCGGCGGAGTGGGGTCGGGCCAGCTGGATTGTGCGTGGGGTGAGGTGTTCCAACCTGCTTCACACTTGCTGGGCACGCCTGCTCTGCGAGGATGGGGTGTGAGGCGTGGTGCGGTGGATTGGGACGGGGTGGGGGGGGCACATTTCTTTCATACAAGGAGATGGCATGCATTTGAATTCAATCCTCGCTGATGCGGCGACATGAGTGCTACCTGGGACCCGGGAGGTTTTCCTGGCAGCGGTCAATAATTTTTTGATTTGTTTTCGTGGAACCTTTATGTCAAAGACCGGCAAAAACATGCACGTGATTTTACAGAGCTATCTTCGGCAAGATTGATCACATGTTTGTACAAAAAATCCTGAAGCCAGATCACGTTTGCTGCAGGTTCTTCAGGCTCTGTGATTATGACCTCAAGGGGAAGATGACGAGGATACTAAACTGTTTGATTGGGCCGTGATGGGAGATGTTCCGTCTGGGCACAGTCAAGCATGTGACGTTGATGATGGGTGGGTACCGGAATGTGGTGCGAGGACGAAGTTCCTCGCTGTCTTCAAGCTGGTCAAGCCTACGCTCATGCTGGAGCACCTCAGGAGACAGAAGTTGTGTTCGTGAGAAATGTCTACGGACCTTTTCTGCACAGAGGGGGGGGGGGGGGGGGGGCATGCTAAGCAGGCATGAGAACAGCACCTGAAGCGGCAGCTTCGGTAGGGACGAACCGGCGGCGGCTAGTGCAGCAAAAATCGTGTTCAAGTTGATGGTATTGCCGATGTTCACCTGTGGAGGAGAAAGTTCAGGTTGTTCTACACAACTGTGCATCGCAAAGTTCGGTCAGTGAACAAGAAGGCTGGCACTGGGGCTTTACAAGTTAAGACCTTGTCCTGCTGCAGTGCCCGGTAGAGATTGCCGTTGTGTCTGTGTGCGTGCTTCGTGGCTGGGACAGGCGCCATGCTGTCAGGTGCACTTTTGGGTTGTTTTCCAGCATGTGTATCACGAGTCAGGGTTTAGGGTCTAGGGTTGTCGCCCGAAGCCGTCGGTGTTAGGCAGTCTCGCAGATTCCCGGTCTTTGTGCGCCTCAGGAGCGATCTTGCGAACCAGTCATCCTGTTGGTGATAGCTGTATAGCTTGCAGCCGAGACCAACAGCAATCTCAGGATACAAGCTTTGGACGTACTTGTGCATCAAGCATGTTTTTCTCTTGAAAGTAGGTCAGGCCACGCCATGTCGATCTGTCAGACCGACGGGGCGGACCTGCGACTCCTGGGCCGGCGATCCTTGGACGGATGGCAGCAGTGGGAGCAGCAGAAACGACGCAGGAGCTCGGAAGGGCACCTGCAAAACTGTGCGAGGGAACTTGAACCCCCGGTCATGAGCAGCTGCCAGGCGCGAAAGGGACCCAGTGTCGGGTGTAGGAGCATCGAGCTGTGCTAGCAGTTCGCTCCTCAACAAAAAGCTGTTGTTTGAGCTCTCCCCTTGATCAGGTCCATCAAACGTCCAACCCGGCATTTGCCCGAGGGGTGTGTTGCTCCGACAGAACATCATTCAGCAGCGGCGAGGACAACGCCCAGCTTCTTCCTGGGTCATTGACCGCGTCATGTCCATGGCCTGAACAGCCGACCCGCCTGCTGCTTTCGCAGTCTGCGCAGCAGCCTGCTTCAGATCGGTACGACATGTATGGTCAATGCGGAATTTTCGAAGAGACTTCTGCTATGCTCACCGAAGTGCCCGACGCTTCCGTGACGAGTGCAATGGAAGGTGATTTCCGGACCCTGCCGGACAACGCATTCCAGAGCCTGTATTCAAAGTTCGAGGGGTGGTCGTCTGGACGCTTCTAAGCCTCGAACACGCGCACAGCCCGCTGTGAAAGGTGATTTCTGCACCATCCTGGACAGCACGTTTCCGGAACAGATGCCAGGTTCCACGCCGGTCGTCCTGCTGTGAAGAAGTTTTCGGCATCATGGGAAAGACGCTGGTTCGAGTGGTGGTCGTCTGAGCGCATCTCTTTGCAGCGGAACCTGCGCTATGTTCGAATGGACTGATGCATCCATGCTCATCCTCATCCATCCTCGACACCATGAGCTTCGGGCGTGCTGAAAGAGATCGAGCCACTTCAGAACTTTGTGTGCATGCACTTCATGATTTGCAGTTACTAGGCTTGGTCTCAACAAACCATTTTTGAAAACCTTCTGCCCCATAGGCCAGCCTGGAAGCATTGGCCATGACCCTCGTGAGCAACTTCTTGCAGTGCCCCTTCCATTACGCAACAATATGCATTGACATGCAGCTGCACCAAGCATCGAGCCCGAAGCCCACGATTAGCGCAAGTCGAGCATCGTAGGTCCTGTGGATCCGGCCAGGTACAAGCAGGACCCAAAGATCTCGAGAAAAGTCGTCCCAGATGACTATCAGAGGAGCGTTGCGAGCACTGTCCGACAATGTGCTCACAATGCGTCTTGCTGAACGGTGGACGGCAACAGCGCTGTCGACCGTTCAAAGCCATAAGACAGAAGACCATATCTCAACGTTATCATTTGCCTTCATGGGGCCATTCTGTTCCAGGACATATGACCTCCTGCAGCTCACAGAGAAGGCAGAGACGCCGTGCTGGGTCTGTTCTCCAAGCAAACAATTCTTTGTAGAGCGACTGGCTGACCATGTAGGCCAAGCGTGACATGCACAGACCCTTACCAGTTTCCGGTTCGACTTGAAGTGCAGGACACAAAGCTGCTCTTCAGCCTCGTGGTGCCCCAGCAGAGTCGGGGGTGGGATTTGGAGTCCAGGATGTTGCAGGGGAACCCCACTCTCAGCAGAAGACAGCCGTTCTTAGGGCCAGGGTGCAGTGAGCCATGTGCCAGGATCTACGAGGTTCGGGGAAACCCGACCCGATTTTCTGGCACATGCTCAAGAACTTTACGCCTTCTGTTGCTTGCTTCTCAGACCACAGTCTCGTGAAGGAAGTGTCAGCATGGGGAAGAGAGAACATTCGAGGTCCTCGAGGACTTGAGCCTTCTGAGTAACACCATCGCTGCCACGACTCTCAAACAAGTGCGAGAGGCAGCCGACTAATTAAAACCAGCCGGTTCACATTGCACGCCTGCTCCCGCCGGCCCCCTTCCACAGGCTCAGAAGCTGCCGGCCTGGCAAGCGAGGCGGACTGCTGGTGGCCCTTGTGTAACCGCTAGAGTCTAGAGTGCTTCGGCAAGAACTACTGTACATGCTACTAAACAGTATTCTCAAGCCTTGGAGATCTCTGGACAGGCACCTCGGTCTGACGCGTGACCCCACGCCGGAGCTACAAGTCTGGTGCGCCACTGATACCCAACGACTTTAGAGTCAGTTTAGAGCGTACAAAGCCGAAGCCGCACTCAGGTCTGAGTTAGCAGATGGCAGCAGGGAGTCTCCTTGGCTTTCGCAGCTGATGCCGCTCAGCTCGACCCAATCAGAACCGTGCAAGAAGAGTGCGGCTCCTGGCTTCAACGCAAAGGCCCGGCTTGGCCGCCAGGGCTGCCGGCTCCCGGAAGGAGGCCCAAGGGGCCCCAAGGGTGGCAGAAGAATCGCGAGGGCGAGGGATGCGGAGTGCAAGTTGTTGTGCATGGAAGCTGCGAGTCTGAGGCCGCCATGCTGGCCGCCAGCTCAGGCTCCGGAGATCCTTGTCTGGCAAGTTGGGTCCGAGAGCCGAGGCTCCACTGGCTGCCATCTCGTCTGGACTTGGAGGCTTGGGACTGAACAGGGCTGAGGGTATCTGAGGGTCTTCGCGGTTTCCTAGTCTGGCTTCGAAGTCATGTCACAAACGCTTAAGGGGGGAGTCAAAGTCAAGGATGTCGTCTTGGGCGACCTCGCATTTGTCCAGCAGCAGCAGGAGGAGGAGCAGCAGCAGCAGTAGCAGCAACAGGAGGAGGAGGAGGAGGAGGAGGAGTAGTAGTAGTAGTGGTAGTAGCAGCAGCAGGAGTAGTAGTAGTAGTAGTAGTAGCAGCAGCAGGAGTAGTAGTAGTACTAGTAGTAGTAGTAGTAGTAGTAGTAGTAGTAGTAGTAGGTGTTCCAGTAGTAGAAGTAGTAGAAGCAG